TACATTATAACGCCCCCACGGCTGAAAGGGCGAGCATGTTTGGTGTGACGAGGATTCGAACTCGCGACCCTCAGATTGCGAGTCGAGTGCCTTAACCACCTGGCCATGCCGGGCCCTTACGTCAAGATACATATTCTCCAACTAAACGTAAGAATCATCGAATTCAACTCGGACTACCAATAAAAATATAGAGAAACGGATAGAAGCTTTAAAATGTGGATATTCGAAAAACTTGGAATAAAATCATGGGCAAAAAGAAAAACAAATTAGGAAATTAAATACAAAAAGAGAATTCATAGACATCATTCAGCAAAGGAAAACAGTATACTTTAGACGAAAAAGCACAAGAAAGCACAGAAATTTATGCTAGAAGGAAGAAAGTGGAAAGAAAGAGAGCAAAATGATAACAAATAACGAAATGTGGAGATAATATCAAACAATGGACTGGCCTAAAGATCTCAGAATGCACATATAGTGTTGGCGGTCCATTGCAGTCAACATCTGTAATGTAGATGGCACAAAATGATTGAATGAATGACGAGCAGCTCCTCACGAATTACCAGAGATCAGCATTAATTAAAATTAAAAAGCTAGATTTCCAAGACAAGTAATTGACCAGCATCATTCCAAGGTATTTTATCTCGGTCACTAAAAAATTATTCATCTCCTTACTGCGACGTTTCGTATGACTCACTATTCAAGATATATATTTCGGATTTAATAACTGTGTACCGCCATTTGTTGGCTCGCGTTTAATAGCAGGAAATAACCTATATATCTACGCGAAGGGGTGTCGATCTACGTCTCTGTTAGCAAGAGGTGGACTTGATTTTGCAATATGTCACCCTTCTAGATAGCTTCTACGTAAAACATTTTGTTAAATATCCAATATTTTGTAGTTTTACAGGAGATTGAATGATCTGTTATTGACATGAGCTCCTGTAAAACAAATTCTATTGTTTTTTCTGTTTTTACTAAACGTTTATTTTCCCCAGTTCTTAATTTTAACAGCCGTCAACTTACCTAATGTATTTATGGTCATAATATATTTATTTTATTTCATAAGTTGAACCAGACTTCTCCAAGTGATTGTTTAGGTGCATGAACAACATTTGAAAAACAAAAAACAACTCTGATATCAGCCGAAGTACGTTTTTTCGTTTACACAATGAATGTAATGCAGAGTAATTACTTTTTGGAATTTATTTTAGTTTGGGTGTATTTCTGGTAAAGATTGCACGTTTTTGAAACACCCAAAAATGGTCATTCTGTTTTTAAATACCTTACTATAATTAATTTCAAGTGTTTTATAGGATCCTTACAAATAATTTGCTCAGTAAAAGAAATTGGTAACAACTTATATTTTAATGATTTGTCCCAGCTGTTTACATTTTATTTAATTACATACGTAATGTTCTTACACGATGATAAACTTTGATCTACATATGAAATAAAAATGGCATAAAACCATTATTTTACATTACTTTATTTTTATACATATATAATGTACACAGAGACGTAAGCAAACAGCCACGGGATTGTATTCAACTACAATGTCTTATATTTATAACTCATAAGAAATTTATTAATCTGGTTAAATAAGCCAGAACTAAGATATACACCATTCTTGCGTTTGAGTGAAACCCCTCTTGAGTCAGTTACAGCTATCTTCCGAACCCGCGTTATTTTCTCCGTGATCCATTGATAGGATCCGTGATAGGATCCATTGCCTGAATTATTTGTTTGTTTGTTTTGAATTTCGCACAAAGCTACACGGGG